TGCACATAAAATGTTTCACAATTTTGGTGTAACATGCTGCGCGCGCACCCTGCGCACCCTGAATTTCCAACACTGGTGGTGTGCAAAAAAAAAATGACAATTTTTATAGTTTCACAACCATTACACCAATTTAACTATTGTTTTAAAGCTATAAGGCAGTAGATTTTATTAAAAAAATTAATATGATATCCGTTCACCATTTTTCTCAATAACTTCGTTACAACGCCGTGGCATTGAATCTACAAGACTAATTAGAAGACTATTTGGAATTTTCTCCCACTCCTCACCAAAAAACTTTCTAATTCAGTAAGATTTTTGGGCCTACGCTTCTCCACGTTTCTTTTAACAACTGCCCAAAGGTTTTCAATTGGATTTAGGTCGGGACTATTAGAGGGCCAGTCCATAACCTCTGGGACATTATTACCAAGGAATTCCCGGGCAATACGGCCAGTATGCTTAGGGTCATTGTCTTTCTGTAATCGCCATTCACCCCTCAGCATACTGGGATATGCTCTTCCAATATTTATGTGTAATATTTTGCATCCATTATGCGTCTAAAACAAGTGAGACTTGTTTTACCTTTTACACAGAAACCACCCATGCAAATATTTTGCTTCGGTCTTTTGGCATAGGGCGAATTGGTCCTGCATTCTTATACCAATGCTTTATTGTATTACGAAACAATTGGAAGGATGCTTCATCACTAAATAATGTCTTTTCCCAATTGTCATCTTTGTGCTTTTGTGCCCATTCAACACATTTTGTTTATGGACTAATGTGAGCATTGGTGTAGAAAGGGGAAGAGTATTCCGGTATCCAAGGTTAGCCGGGTGTCCCGATACTGTTGAGCGAGAGACGTTTATTTCAGTATCCTCCGATTTTTCAGCAATAGATCCAGCAGAAATTGTAGGATTTCTTCTAATATACTGGCTAATTGCACGGGAAGCATCGGTTGTTATTTTCTTAATACGACCATATTACCACCTTTGTGTTTACATCTCCAGTTTCTTCAATTTTTTTAAGGTTTCGATAGATTGTTCCAAGTGGAAACTTTGTCAAAGAATGTATTTCAACAGCTGTTCGTATTCCCTGCTACTTCTTGCTTAGATGCGACCATTTTGATGTTTGATAAAATATAAATTTTATCAATTGTTAGAAAAATGATACTTGGAAATGATGGAGGCTTTTATTTCCGTATTTAACTATATCTTTTCCAAAATTGAGGAAGTTACACTTGATCTTTTTCCAAAAAATTGTCATTTTTTTTTGCACACCACTTCATTGTATTATTCCATTATTGCCGAATTTTTTTCTTTTGACCAAAGCGGAGGGTAATGCAAGAAAATATCTCATCATTTTTTTTAGCTATGTCAGTTGTCACGAATTTGGTCAACAGTTCCTTCAGACGACATTGACTTTGTTGGATATCAAATTATTTTTTGGAAATATGAAAAAATCCACCGATTAAAAAACCATTAAAAAAAGTAAGGAAATAATGAATTGCAGGGTAGATATTTTTCTGGAAGGGAAAAAAATTCCACTTGGTAATCTTCATCCTGTTACCAAAATTACTCAAAAGATCTATGAGCTTTTTTGCCTCTTTGTTATCAGATTGTTGAAAGTTCAGAAGTTGAAACGGATGAGATTAATTTTGATAAACTAAATATGCCTCCTGATCATCCTGCTCGTGGCATTCATGGCACTTTTTATTTGAATAATAATTTGTTGCTTCATACTTGTACTTCCAACTCTCAAGTAAGAGTTAAAAGTTATTACTGCTGGCAAGGTTTATAGGCAGGATGAAGATGATGCCACTCATACTCATCAATTTACACAAATAGAAGGTTTTGTGGTCAGTTACAATATTTCTTTTAGCCATTTAAAAGGCACATTAAACTTAGTCTTCAAAGAGTTGTTTGGAAAAATGCATCCACTTCGTTTCCGTTCCTCTTATTTTCCCTTTACTGAGCCAAGCATAGAGGTAGATGCTCAATGTATCTCCTTTCAGGGACAAGGATGTAATATTTGCAAAAAAACTGGTTGAGTAGAGATATTTGGAGCTGGTTTAATTCACCCCCAAGTTTTAAAAAGTTGTGGCTTCGATGATCAAAAATTTACTGATATTTTGCCTTTGGGATTAGGAATAGAAAGATTACTGATGATTAAATACGGAATTGAAGGCATTCGCCATTTTTATGTTAAATGATATTAGATTTTTAAGTCAATTTAAAGTTATGAATTAAGTCTAATAAGCCAAGAAAGTTAATAAGTTAACTAAACACTATAGAAAAATTGATTTTAACACCATTTCTTTCTTTTTTCAAAATACAGTCAGACCTCCATAAATGCACCCTCCATAAATGCACACCTTCCACAAATTCACGCTATGACTTGTTCCCAACCTCAGAACTTGGGGATAAATGCACACCCTCCATACTCTGCACTGCACGGTATTCTTTCAGTCCATTCCATATGAAAACTTTCCATAAATGCACCCCACGTGACTAAGATCATGTAACTAGGATAAATTTAGAAATCATCAGCAAAATTTTTTTAATTTAATATATAGCACCATTTAAAGAAAATTAATTCACACGTGATTAATAAAATAAATTGATGATCTATAAAATAAAAAATTTTTGATTGTTTTAAAGATAAATAAAATGGTATGTTTTATATAAATGTATATGAATATACTGACTATAATTAGAAAGATATTATTGAATTGAAGTGAATTGATTTTTAAATTATGACGTATTGAATAATATATTTACACATATCTATAGCCATCTCATAAAACTTTTAGGATCAAATGTGTTCTTGGAAAAAATATATGTAAGACGAATTCAAAATGTTAATAAAGAATAATGTGAAATCTTAATATTAAAGCTACATTACCACCTCCGCCATTACTAGAAAAAGATATTTCACATGGATATAATGACTATTATCTGAAATTGGTTTGAAACTTTTGAATTAATTTCAAGAAACCCTAGAAATATTAAAATCTCCATGGAAAATCAGATGTTGTACAACTTGGAAAATTGTTTGTAGCTTCATGTGATGATGAATCCTTAGTTCCTAATATTATCATGTCATTATATGTCAATCATTAAATTTATCCTGAACCTTGGCAACTATTATTCTTTGATATAGGAGAGCTTTATGGGCTTGAAGCGGTTAACACTTTAAACGGTAGTTTGAGTAGAGATTATCCATTGATAAAATTTTTTAAATTTTATTTCTTGAGAGAATTACATCAACGAGGATTTTCTTTCAAAGAATTTCTATTTAGCATTGAATCAAAATAGTGTACAATGGTTTTATGGTCTAAAATGGGATTTTGATTACGACTATATCTTGTTGTTTAATCCTTATTGGCATTAGATAATTATCGCATGGTCGAGATAGCTTTTAAAAACGGTGACTGATAATAATAGTAAAGGATATGTAAAACGATTCAACTTTAACACCGGGTATAGCCTTTTTTAGATTTATATTTACAAGATTACAATTACTAATGTCGGTTGGTGAAATGAGACACGCGGAAAGTGAAGTAAAGAAAGTTTTACAAAATGAATATAATGTAGAACCTTTATATAAAAAATTAATACAGAATTTAATAAATAATGAATTTCATATTTTAAAGGTTGATAGACACTTTAATAAAAGACAATTTAGAAATGAAATCAGTCATAGCACATAATAGGGTTACACTCATCTATGCCATCTAAGACATTAAGATTATTGGTTTATTGGAAACATGTAATCATGGATTTATATTGATTTGTCCGTCTTTTGTAGATTATACTGCTACATCTGAAACTGGTGTATCAAGGAAAATGTAATGTTTAGTTAATTTATCATCTTCTTTAGATTGATAATAAATTCCTCGATTTTACTTTTACACTCGAGACATATTCCTTCTACAATTTTCCCACCTTACTCGTTAACAACATATTTATATCTATATCCACATTCACACAAATATCTCATTATCATCCCATGTAATACTAAACACTATTGCTGAAACCATATGAATTGTCATATGGGAATCCAAAACAAAGAGAAGATTGGGAAATAAGGTTTGCAGATATTGTACCATTTGTAATACTAAACACTATTGCTGAAACCATATGAATTGTCATATGGGAATCCAAAACAAAGAGAAGATTGGGAAATAAGGTTTGCAGATATTGTACCATTTACTAAAAATATTGTTGAATCAACAACCAAGTTCATTATTCAAATTAGAAGAGTCAATGAGCATGTATTATTTTGACAGTAATGTCGTTGGAGAGATAAATCAAACATTATCAATGAATAAGAATTGTCAGAAATCATATCTACCTAAACTTTGGAGATATATTGGCAAGAGTAATTTTGATAATTTTAGAGCACATTATTATGGAGCATTAGAAAAACCAGCACAAAGATCATATCCCATTTTTAACAATATTTTCAAGCACCATGATTGATAAGTTAAACATTTATCAGCCATTATAAAATTTGTGAACTTTTTATCATTAAGATTAAGTTATCGGATAACTAGATTGACCGCAAACAATACAACCTTTAAACAATAAACTATTTTTGAACAAAAAGAAAATGATGTATCACAAGAACTTGTGTTTAATAAGTTATTTCATGATTTTCATTATTATGGAATCAAATGATCAAAGAAGATACAGTAACCAATACAAAAAAACTGGTAGATGTACCAGAAATGAACACACACAGACCAATAATCTTTGGGTTAATTGGTCCAGAAGATCAAAGATCATATGTATGCGCGCAATAATAGAAAATCTTGTAGAAATACAAAACAGTTTTTTGAGAAACATTTTGACAACACCAATCGGAAAATGTGAACCTATCAAATTTTTACAAGGATCTAGAAATCATAACGTAGTAATTGATACTAAAATGTATTATTATCCACCAGAAATTAAATTAAATTGGACAATTTAAAGAAATTAATTTAATAATTATGAATGAGATAATGATTTTTTGGTTTATAGTCAAAGAAGTTTGGCTGTTGTACAAGGGCAAAAAATCATTTATAACTTACGAAATATTGAAGGGGAGCTTGCCAAGAGTTTGGTTATGAAAAATACTATGCTGAGCAGAATAAAGAAAACTCGCATTTGAGTCATTCTAATATTATTACAAGCTTATTAGTGATATTAAATTGTTAAGATCATAAGAATTTTATCATTTTTGGAATTAATTTTATGTTTTATTAAACGAGCATCAGTTGGTGCCAGGTTGTCATCATTGGCTCGTGACAACAATGAATTCAAGAATATATGGAAGCTAGGATTGAAACTTAAAAATATCATATGAACTCTATTATGCTAATGGAGTGATTGAACATACAAGAAATATAAAATAGTAATTGATAATGTTTTGAAAAGTATGATTGAAAGTTCAATTAATTTTGAAGCAATAATTACTGAGGAAATTAAATAATCCACCAGCAAACTCATTTGCACCAGCATTAAAAAGATTTATATTTAGATTCTTGTCATCAGAATCGGTTAAAGAACATGAATTACTAGATAATTATTTAACTGATACGAGTTTCAATCTTTGGTCATCAAATATTAAAGAATTGATAAATTTTGGAAAGAATCGAAGTAATTAAAATTTTATAAACTTTATAATTTTTAAAAATCATATAATATGGATGGAGAAATTTAATTTCATTCTCTTCTGGTCCTAGTGCACAATCATCAAACAGTTTGACATAAAAAAAGAATTTTATTTATTTATTATCTTGTATTTTTAGTGCCATATTTTGTTTTATTATTTAAAATAATAATAAACCTGTTAAAAAATTTTACACGATATCTTTATTCGATTAATTGACACACAGCCGAATCATTTACAACAATAGCCAGCCATCGATGTGAATGGACTTTCAATCCAAAAATAATCAAAAATTAGAACGAAAAAAATATTTTTTATTAATAATAATAACATTAATACTACGAACGACAAATCAAAAAAAAAAAATATTTGATAAAAAATGAAAAAAAAAATTTTTTTTTCCAAAATTTGATTTCTGCTAATATTTTATAATTTCAGTTTTTGCCACGTTTTCGTTTATTTTCAATTGCAGGATCGGTTACTTGGATCTTTTTTGATGATGAACTTTTGTGTTGTTCATCTTGATCTTCTACTAGTTCTCCTGATTCTCCTAGTGTTTTACGTTTTCTTGAACTTTTAGAAGCTTTCTCGACACCGGGACTAACTTCTACTGGTGTTGCTGCTTTACTTTTTTTAGAACTTTCACCAGATTTTTCATCCTTGTCATCATTTGCCGATTTGCGCTTTCTTGAAACTTTGGTTACTTTTTCAGCTTCATCGCTTATTCCTTTTTTAATTTCTTGATCTTCGTCGTCTTTCATCAACTTTTCTTTATCATTACCTTTATCAACGCCATTTGACTCTTTATTTTTTTTCACATCGTCTTGAGTTTTCACGACAATTTTATCAATATCCATTTTGCTATTGTCGTTATCAACCTTGCCAATTTCTTTATTATCATCTTTATTAGCAAGTTTATCATCATCATCAGTTTTGCCATCGGCAACTTTATCATCTTCATTATCTTCGCCTTCATTGTTTTCATCTTCACTTTCATCTTCTTCTTCATTACTTTCACTATCAGAACCAGTTTTGTTTTTTGTTTCAGAAGATTTAACTTTTTTAGATGATTGCTAAATTAGTTTGAATGAGTGAATAATATTTTTTTATTAACATTATTCTCAGTCACGGGTAATAAATAATCTAATAAATATATAGACTACCTTTTTATTAATTGTTTTACCGGTCTTAATATTTTCTTCTTTTGCTTTTTCTTCGAATTCTTTTTTCTCCTCAGCAGATACGCCTTTCCATGCCTCAGATAAAATCTTATCAATGTCAACACGATTTTTAGATTTGTGCTCTTCCATAGCTCTATATAATGATCTTTTTTCATTCATAAAAATGTCTCTAGCAGATTTCTTACGAGGAGCTTTGGATTTTTTAGATGATAATAATGATGATTTAGTTTTTCTCTGAGCCTTGCTCTCATCAGAACCGGATACTTCTTTTGGATTTATTAACCAACTATAAAGTCTATCAATTATAGTTCCTTTATCGCCACTTGCTTTCAAGTTAAAGACAGTACACATGTTTTTCAGTCCAATTAATTTCCATTTTTCCAATTTTTCCTTAATGACAATTTCGTCTACAGGCGTGGCATTAGAAAATCCAGAAAATCGGCGGATGTTTGATTTAATCTCATTTTTCATACCAACAGTTCCATAAAAGAGTTTGTGTAGACCTTTCAATACATCATCATTGTATTTTAAACGATTAATATTACGTGAAACAGCGGGGATTTCACCAAGAGGTGTTCCTGAGCCTTGGCCAATATTTTCTAATTTCTTTCTTGAGCGACTCTTGGATTCTTTAGCTTCATAGCTAAAAGGAACTACTTGCTTCACTGCTCTCTTTGGTCTTTTATTAATAAGAAGCTCTATAATATATTGGTAGCAGTTAATATATTATTATTTTGTTATTATTTTATGATATACATATATTATTAAATTTCTTACCGTCATCATCATCGTTATCATCATCGTCATTATTATTTTCAGTTAAATTTGACTTGTTTTTATCATTGTCATCGTTGGTTTTTTGCACCGTTGATGTCTTATTATTTTTATCATTATTATCATTAATGTTTGTAGTAGTGGAAACAGAAGGATCTACAATTTTATCAGAATCCTCAACAGGCTGTGAAACAGTAATAGTTGTAATTTCTATATATTTACGATTAATAAATAATACATATTTAATTATTTAATTATTATTCCTCCGCTCTTGTACTAAAGTTGTACAGATGGTTATTATTATCACTTACCACTCTTCATGATTTCATAAATTTATATATACAACAATTAATACTAATTATTTTAATTAATTGTACGAAAGAAACAAAATATAAATGTATGTACAATCTAAATATTAATCACTCTATAGAGCGAATTAACAGTATTTTGAATATTTTGAAAACTATGATTTATATTTAAATTTGAGATGTATGTATATTTTAGAGTATTATGTTGAACAAACAGAATTAAAAAAGTAGTTGGTTGATGTGTAGTTTTTAAAAAAAAATTAAAAATTAATGGGAAAAAAAATAGTCTTTATTTTTAAATATGACTTTTGATTGGACAAAAATTAAATGTATTACAAATAATTTGTAAATGATTGGCCGAGATAATCTAGTATATATATTAATATATCCGAAAAATTAAAAAATAGCACGCTGTACTACATAAAGGAAAAAAAATCAAATTTGATCGTTTTTTTAACACCAATACTTTTAGTAAAAATGATCTTTCTATGTCCATTCCAATTGGTATGTTCTATAGATGGGTGTCTAAATTGTTTTTGGGATTGTCTAAAGTCAAAATAATATTTAGACAAAAATGTCTAAATGTCTAAATTAATATAAATAGTAATGATTTGCTTTAAATACAACTAAAAGTCACGTGTATATACACAAAATCCACAAAGTTCAGTAAATTATCCAATAAAAAATTCAATTTCAGCATTTTAGACAATTGAGACCATGATTGTCTGAATGTCTAAATTAATTTATATTTTAGACATTGTCTAAATAATTTAGTTTAGACACCCATCTATAGTATGTTCACATCTCCAAGTGAAAATTCATCATTTTTTTTAAAAAAAATGGTAGAGCATATATATATAATGGTGCTTCGTGTAATACAAACAGCACCAGGGTTATTTTTAAATATAAAGATTTTCGAATTTTGAGGCAGCCACCAATGATTGGAGAGGTTGGTAGTTACTAGGATAAATTGATAATTCTGTAAAATAAAAAATAATGATAACAACAATAACAACAATACAAACAAGATCAAGATACAAGTTGCTTTTGAAGATGATGAAGATTTGTCTAGTTAAAGATGTAATTAAAGATGTAGATGTATGTATATCCAATAAATAAAATTGGCGAAAAGAAAAAAAGTGATTTGAACTTTTTTATCATTTAATATGCTTTTATTTTTATATGACAATAATAAAAAATCATCAAGAACAAAAAAGTGATGATACTGCTACTTCAAAACGAATAATTAAGGTTATTAATTAATGGTAATTTTCATTATATTTAACTATTTGGATTTTTTTTATGATATATAAATAACTGATTTCTAATTATCATACTTAAAATTAAGGCTCCGAACAGATTAGATCAAAACCAGATCAATAATTTAACTTTAATTTGCTTAATTTGTGCTTATTTATTTTGCATAAAAAATATAAATTTTTTTCAACTTTTTAATACCCCTTTTAACCAAATTTTGAGGCACATGCAATAAAGAAAATTGTTAATAAGAATCATTAAAATTATCACTAAGACCATCATTAAAAACATTTGAAAGGTATTTTTATGCAAAGAAATTTATCATTATTATATTATTGGATTTTTTCAATAAAGGATATTAATAGGTATCATAAATTTGTATATATACAGATCAAACAGATCAAACAGATCAGATCGGATTTCAGATCAGATTTCAGATCAGGTCAGGTCAGGTCAGATCAGATCTGATCTGATCTGTTAGGAGCCTTAAATTTAGGTGTATACAAACGAAATTAGAATTTATTTAATGGAAATGCAGGTGGTGTATAGGTTGCACCTTTTAAAAAGATTAGAGCTGCCAACCCAATTTTCATCATATAGACAACTTAGATCAGTACTTTCGTGGGCATGGAATCTAAGAGTAAATTTATTTGTAGTGTTAATTTATGAAAACTAGAGGTCTCACATTATTTGCTATTAATTAATTATTTATCATTTTGATTTAGGGCATGATTAGAAATCTTTGGTATAATAAAATAAATATTGATATAGATGTTTCCTCAACACTTCCAAAAAGCAATAATCATAAAATGTCAACACCAACAACACCACCAAGAGCAGAAAAAAAATAAAGAATACTGACATATTCATTCATTACTGGGAAGGTGTAAATTGTCTAATGATATGTGAACATTACTGGAATAATTGTTTGTAAGGTGATAAAATTATATGGCAGCATAAATAATTAACTGAATGCATATTTTTATAAATATATTTTCTTTAGAATAAAAAAAAATTTTTTTTATTGCTTTTTTTTTAAAGTTAAAATGTTAATAATTAGAAATATATTATAAAAAAAAATCACAATTGATTTAGAAATAATAAAATAAACATTGATACTATTAGTAGTAATAGTAATAATGACAACTCTGTCAATTATCATTTGAAATAATACTTTTGGTCATACTACATACACAACATTTGACACCAAATATATAATGTTCATGTGATCCCTGAAATATTAATACAAGTATATAGACGTTAAGTATGGTTATGATTTGTGCAGATGGTATGGTATGATCAGCAATTTCGTTGTTACAATACCATACCAACCCTATATAGTAAGCACAATAAGTGAAGTATTGTTAATTTTTTTTCATACTCATCCATCTAAAACAAAAAACAAAAAATCCTCTTCAACCATTATAGAACTTTATAGAATTGTATTTTTAAAAGCCAAATCATTTTGGTTACATTCCTTTAAATATATGTAAATTAGGCATTTTTTATTATATATATACTACCCAGACAAAAGTTTGTAAATGATGTTATTTGTTAATTATGTAAAATACTACATAATAAATACATAAAATTTCATAATTCCTTGTTCACTTTTATATAAAATTTAATATTTTTTGCATTTTGGTACTTTATTAATTAAAAAAAAAGGAATTTTAAAATGTTTATGGTATTTTTGTGGTTTTTTTTTCAAAAATTAACATAATAAAAATATTTAAAATCATATCAATGTCATTACTACTGTACTGCTATTAACAAGTATTAATTCGTGATTCATGTGACAACTGCAGAAAATTCCCAGGCAAATTTTTGAAGATCACTAATAAAAAATTTCTGATACATTACTTTCATCATAAGGTAACTATCCTTACAACAAAACAAATTTTCACCCTGTGAAAATTTGTTTAAGAAAAATTGGAATCTTTTAAAGAACTTTTGCTAAATTTCCACAAACTAAAATAAAAATTTATAAAATAACAAGAAATAACCCTAATGAAAGAAATTTCCCCCCTCGCTGAGAATGAATTAAAGAAAATTGTCCAGATTTTGATATTTTTATTAATGATAATCATGTGATTATTGAAAATACTGTAAAAAATTTTGGTTCAAAAAAAAATTATGTAATGCCTGATTATAAACATAATAGAAATACTCAAGCTCCCAATATCTAACAACTTAAAAATACCATCTCAGATTTAAAAGATGAAGATTTTGCCAAAGCTGCAGAGGAATATAAAAACAATATTTCAAAGAATGAAGAAAATTTTGATGGTAAATCTATTGGGCTATGAATAGCAGGTATAACTTTAATCTTAGGTTTTATAATTGCCATGATTTATGTTACTAAAAGAATTAAAAGGAAAAAATAGATTAATTGTTCAACCATAAGACTTCATTTTTCATATTATTTTCCTTCTAAGGATTTCTGTTTTTTGTTAGGTAATAGCACACCTTCATTCTGCTTTCTTTTCCTGACATTTATTATTTTTCTTTCTTCTTGGTAAATTTCATAGGTAATCCTTTCTTTTCTAGATAAGCTTCCAGTGTCTGAGTATTGTATATTTTGAAAATGTAAGGAGCAATTTTCTCACCTTGTTCTTTTTTCAAAATACTTCTAATGGTGCTATAATTTTTGGGTTCCATAGTAGACCTAATGTAAATTAACTTCATATTAACTATTTTTATATAGGGATAATTCTATATATCACAAATGGATATTATAAAACTGTTAATTATAATCACATTGCAAATGACTAAATTTTGATCCCTGAAATTCTTGGTAACACCAATGTTCACTTTGTCTGGTTTGTTACAGCATGCCCATTTATAAGTTGTGTTTATTGCAGGTTTTTTTAAAATAAAAAAGAACCAATGAATAACAAATTCTTAATGTGATGGTGAAGATATTGTTTCTGGTATGAACAATTCGTTATTATCTGTTGCTTTTGGTCTTAGTTTAGAATCCAAATCTTTTATCAATTTAGAATTAAAATTGATAGAACTCTAAAAATTTATAGCAAAAAAAGGCTTGAGTAAAAATTTTAATAAACATGAAATAAATTATTAGTTACTTACCACTAAACTTTCTAATAAATCATAATATTTTGGATTATCAATCTTTACTGGTATTTCTGTCATGTCTAACCAACGTACTCTATAAATTATACCATCTGGTTTGTCAAATGAATAAATATGCATATTGAAGCCTGTTTTTGATTGGGAAAAATGATTAATATTAATAATTAAAATGATTGCTAACTAATAAAATAAAAATTACCTACCATCAAGATGCCAAATATTTCTAAATTATTTAGATTTAATTGCTTGCATTCCAATTAAAAACTAGTGCTGTAATCCAAAAAAGGAATAAGTATGGTTGCAAAAGTGGTTGCAAAGGCAATTGCAACCACTTTTTATATGCCGTAAATACAATTACTACCATCATCATAATTTACAGCACTAGTCTTAATCATAATGATCTGGACCAAAGTTTTGCACAACATTTTTTAAGACATCACAAATAGTTGATCCCTTGGATTTGAGTTCAAAATTGGATGTTAGAAATATTATGCTAACTGTAATGTATGTAAAGCATTAATATTAATTAAATAAGTGAGACTTAATACCTGTATATTTAATATTTTTAAATCATTTTTAAAAGTTTTTCTATCAATTGCAACATTCCCCAACTCAGACAAACACCCCCTATATATAGTAAAATGCAGAGATAATAAATAG